ATTTTGTAGTTTTTCTAACAGGTGTTTAAGTCACAGTAGTTCGCTTGTGATTGACGAAGTTCGCTGGTTTTGTTGGAACTTTCTTTGGCTTTTGAAGGCTAGGTATCAAAGGGGTTGGAGCAGCCAAGAACCCTGCTTCATGGGGGGTTGTCAAAATTAGGGTCCCTTTTTGGGTTCCTAATATAGTACGGCACCTTATATTTAGGGTACCCCAAAAAGGGGCCCTAACCCTGACAACCACCCTCATGTCAGGAGAGGGAGGCCGCGAAACGGGAGGTTGAGGCTGCGGAGGAGCTGGGGCAGCCGGCAAAACACTTGGGGGTTTTGGTTTGGCCATGTGGGAGTTTCCGAAAATTAGGGGTACCTTATTTGGGGGTCCTTATAACAAGGGTCCTGCTATTTGGGATACTATATTAGGGTCCCCTATTTTCGGAAACTCCCATGTAGAGCTTGTAGGGTTTCAACCTGAACCCTAAACGGAAGCCTAGACCCTCAACCCTATAATCTATAAACACTAGACCGTTTAGGAAGTTTAGGGTTTGGTTTATGGGTCTACATTGTGCAAGCTTCTTCCTTCGGAGCTGCGGGGGACCTTTCATCCACGAACACCAAGTCTACGTAAAGTATAGCTTGAGTCCCAGAGTCCCAAACCATCAGACATGCTTCTTTTTTTTGATTAGTTCTGTCAGCATGTCAAAGCGTAAACCCTAAACCCTAAACCCCCAAACCCTGAACCCTCAAGCCCTCAAGCCCTAAACCCTCTAAATGTGCAGACATGGTAGTTCTAGTGATTCTAGTGCTCCCAGATCTGCCACACTAGTCTTCAGGATTTTTTTTTTCAGAAATGGCGGTCCGGGGTTTAGAGGTTTACGTGCAGGGTTCATTTGGGTTTGAGGTTCAGGATTTAGGGTTTAGGGTTTAGGGTTTAGGAGGATTTAATGTTGCGGGTTTCTGGTTTACGGTTCAGAGTCTCGGGTTCTTTCAAGGTCCGGGTCGAATTCTGCGAAGCCGGCAGGAGGACATGGATGTGCTGGCAAGCAAGGTGAGTGCAGCAAGGACAGGCTCGAGAAACCTTAAAGGATCGAGGGGCTCAGCAAGTAGCATTTAAGTAAGGCAGCTAAAGTTGTAGCTACTTTTCAACCCGATTCGTAAAGACTTGCAACCCTACTTGCTCAGTAAGGGTTTAGTGGAAGCAGTATGAGGGTAGGCATGATCAGATACTAGAATGTCCCCCCGAACCCTATTGTCATTTTTAATTTCCTTATTATCGTGCCCTCATAGACACATGCAGCTCACCACCACCACCAACAACAGCAACAAGAACAGAACCATTACCAGCACCAACACCAACACCAGCCACACCGAGAGGTTTCGATTGTCTCGATATCTAGGCAGAGCCGCTTCTGGGGACTTTTGCAGCTGATTTCTTATCGGCATGCAGCCGGGCCGAAGACCCCTCGATCCACTGAGAGTCACGCAGATGCACGTGGAATTCCAAGCATGAACGAAGATGTGCTGAGGAATCCGTTCCTGTTGAGAAATTTCGTAGTCAGACTCACCCATCTGCCGAGAATTCCATGCATAAGCGAATACTTTATCGATCAATGTCCATGTCTTGTATTGTGCGGCTTTTGCTGTTTCAGCTGTGCATGGGACAGTTGTTGTGGTGCCGCAAGCTGTGCGGCAGACGCAATTTTGCAAATGCCCCTGCAGATTTTGATGGCTTTGCCATGGCCCATACACGCACCTCGGCACAGGGTTGTAGCTGCAGTGGTTGCAGCTGCTGCATGAAGAAGTTTACCACAGGCTTTCAACCTTAGACATTCGCCAAAGCATGGCTTCACTGCTTTTCTTCACAAGGCCGAAAAGGCATGTTGCCGATGCGGTCGTGCAATCTGTCCGCAAGATCTTGTTCAGAGCCGTCTGATATGATGGGCCACTCCAAAGCAGATTGTTTTCGCATTGCCTGGCCGCGCCGAGACAACACCACTCGGCGGCCGCTTCTGCTGGTTTTGCGGTCAGAGGGGTCTGGATGGAGACGCTGAGCCCGACGTCGAGGCAGCGTGTCTACGTGAGACGGAGCCCAGCCTGCATCTGCTGGGTATTCGCATGCTTCGGACTTCCACTCATTCGGGCTGCGTAGCTCCTAGCCAGTGCAAGTATCCCTTGCGCTGCTCTCGGGCCAGGCACATTTCACGGTGGCAGCAAGGACCGCAGTTTTCAAAACAGCAGTCAGTGCTTCCGGCGTTATCGTGCACATGGACGAGATGATCGGTGCGGAAGCCTGAGCCAATGAGCCAGCGCTATTGCTTTCTTTCGACGCTGGCGGCGCAGCTTCCTGAGTTGAAGATCGTCGTCCGCGATGATGCGTGTCACTTGCGGCGTATGACTGAGTGCGAGGCCGGTGTCCGGGACTTGACCCAGCGTTTGGCACGGGACATTCACTACATGAATGAGTGCCACACTCCTGGGCACGTAGGCTCGTGTTGTCGTGAGCGTTGTCTTCCCACCATTGGCACTCCTGGGCACTTCCCACGAGTGTCGCAGAGTCGGTGAACTCCTGTGTGTCGCCCCTCGTCCATACCTTTCATCACATGGGATCTTGCATGGCTACGTTTGCCGGGATGGAGGTCGTGGACGTCCTTAACATACTTGCAGTGCAGATTGCCGCAGCTCGGAAGGGACGGGCAGACGCTCGAGAAATCCCCCCCCGCAAACTGCAAGTCGGGCAGTCGGGCCAATCCGTCTGAGCTCCATCATACTGTGATATTTTCCTACTGTTGTAGTATATATCATGTATCTATGTCTGTATATGTATATGGTGTTTTGTAGGTTATACTGGTAATCCATTTGCGTGTGTGCCGGTCATAACTGAGATTCGTTTTCCTAAGTCTATTTCAGTCTGGACATGCATTTCTTTGACTCCGTACTCTAAGCCCTCAACGTTTTTGATGCAGTTCCTTCTAATTTCTAATTGTGGGGCCTTGAACATGCTTCCTGACACCAATGAATGCAAGCTGCCATAGGCAGGGAAGCGCCGTGGCCCGAGGGGTTAGGTGGCAGCGATGTGGTGCCAGTGGCCAACAGCAGCAGCAAACACAACCACGACAATCACCACAACAGCAACAGCAGCCACGCTAACATCCAGAACAGCAACGACGACGACGACAGCGACGACAACAACAACGACAACAACGTCAACAACAATTTCGGGACCGTGGACCCGGAACCCGGAACCCGGAAGCCAGAAACCGGAACCCGGGGCCCGGAACCCGCAGGCACCCGGCACCCGGCCTGGGCCCAGGACCCGGAACCCGCAACCAGGGGGCTGCTGGGTGCAAGAAAAACGATATCCCCGATTCCCTTTCCCGAAACCTTAAGCCCCAAAGCCTTAAGCCGAAACCTTAAACCCGAAACCCCAAACTCTAAACCTAAGCCCGAAACCTTAAACCCTCAAACCTTAAAGCCGAAACCCTAAGCCTGAAGCCGAGGTCCTCAACCCTCAACCCTAACCCGAAGTCCACGACAAAAGAGGGAGGAACCAAAGCGGCGGAGGACTTCTGAGGCTGAGGCTTCCGGAGAACAGGAGTCCGCCTCGCGGGCCCTGGATTTGGAGAGGCGAGGATTCTTTGGGCGAAAGCGTTTTGACATGGTTCCTGTAAAAGTCCATAGCGTTCCTTTCAGGGATCTATAGAATCCGTAGGGCTCCTGCAAGGGATCTATAACGTTCCTTTACGGGTTCTATAGAATCTATAGGGCTCCTTTAAGGGCTCTATAGGGTTGCTTTAGGGAATCTATAGGGTCCTTATGGTTCCTTTGAGGGCTTTAATTTTTATAGGGCTCCTTTACGTGATCTATAGGGTTCTTTTCATGGATCTACAGGAAAGATCGCGTGTAGGGTTTGGGGTTACACCATGGGGTTTGGTTCCCATGGGTCTTACCAGGATTCGGGGCACATCCAACGGTTGTGTTGTTCCATGGAGATTTAAAAAGTTTTGCAAGTCGGAGTGTTCGGTTCTATCGGTTTTCCAAATTTGTGCGCATCTTGTGCAGGGCTTACATGTTATGTTGTACATTGGGCCATAGCACTGCTTGGCGCCAACTGGTAGGATGTCGAGAAAGGTGACTGCCATCCAGAGGGGTCAAGCCTTCAACAGCGAAACCCGACGCCCTAAACCCTAAACCCTAAATCCTAAACCCTGAACCCCAAAGTCGAAAGCCAGAGTTGCCCCAGGAAGCGTGGCCAAGATCTGGCGCAGGCCCTCTCGCAGGTGGGATCGGGAGCAGGGACGCGTTTAGGGCTTAGGGAAGTTTGAGGTATTTCGGTTGGCTTAAACTTTAAATGTGCATCATTCAAGAGTGCCGTGTGTGCAGGGTGTGCTACGGTCTGGCATGATGAGGTTGGGTGGCGAGGTGATTGGTATAAATATGTTGGCTTGAAGAGCCTGGTTCAGTCGGGGGAGCAGCCATAGCACCAACGGTTCGTCTTCTCCGAAGAATGTTTTCCACAGGAACAAGTCAGCCTATATCCCAGGCTAACAAATCCCCAAACTTCCAAAGTCCAAACACACAAAAGGGAACCCAAAGATTCCGGCAGGGCCCACCTACCAACGAGCACAGCTCTCACTTCAGTGGCCCTTTTCATGTCTTGAGCCATGATTCCGTTCAGCGGGCCTCTGTGCATAGCGCCTCCAAGCATACATGCTTCGCACATGACGTTCTTTACATCCCTCTCTCTTAGGATCAGGACAGTGCGGAAGAAAAGCCTTCTTAGCTTCTCTTCTTTCAAGAGCCTTTTATAAACAAGACTGACGCATCCAGCTACACGAACACTCCTCCTCGGTTTGCAGAGCGCCTCTAGGAAACCGTCCATCCGTGTCGCTGGAGCCACCACAAGCTGGCCTAACAGAAGCCGTCTAAACCAGATCATCCGGTGAACTGATAAAGCCTCTGATGCCGCTGCTGGCAGTATTGACATAGGGTCACCTGCCTCCTTCTCGTCATCGCATTCCGAAGGCCATGACATGCCGGGTGATAATGAACACGATCTCCATGCTCACTCATCACGAAGGGCCCCGTGTACTCATGGTAACCATCTTGGACCGGATCCGTCTGGATCCCAACAGAAACCGTAGAGTTCACGCTCGACTCCCACGAAGATCGGGCCCTTGTGGGTGTCAAACGCGTGGGTGTAGATCGCCTGGGCGGGGACGGACCTGACATAGAGGACGACCTTGCTGAAGGAGCCCGCCTTGGGGTGGCCTCCGCCTGCACTTCCTGAGAATCCAGATCGTAGCGCGCAACCTCTTCGGAAATCGTCTGCTGCAACCTCCTTAAGCGTCTTGCACCCCTGGCCTCAGAAACTGTCCCACTACGACTCAGCGAAATCCACTCTAGGAGCCACTTGACTCCTTCCCACACGGCTATCGAAGCAACCAACATGAGGCCCCCGACAGCATACATCTCCCAGGGGAAACTCACTTCCAGTCCCGCTCCACGGTCTGTTTCAGACGCCCTGGATCCTTGAACCATCCACCCCATAAGCAACACCAGTTTGGCCAGCACAGCCATTGTGCCGTTCACTCGCGCCTTATGGGAATGGCCTCCTTCAACTTCAATAGTCGAAGAATCTCCTGGCTCCAGTAGGCCCCAAAGACGAAGAAGCTCTTGCAGTCGAGGTCGGTGGAACGCCTTGGTTCCCAAGTCCCCTAACTGCTGAAGTCCAGGGATGTGTTCAACGCGAAGTTCCTTGGACCGGACTGCTTCCCTCAGGTGGAAAGCCCTCACCTTGAGGTGGCGCGTCTTCCAAGTACCACTGCTCTCGTTACACAACCCTATCGCTGCAGTATTGTCAACCTTGATGACGATCTCGGGTGGGCCTCCATGAATCTCCTCTGTGATTGAAGCCACACCGTAAGCAAGTTGAACAGTACTGACAGCCTCGATCAATTCCGCTTCAGCAACAGACAAGGAAACTAGGGCCTGCCGTCCGGAGCGCCAGGCAACTGGCTGACCCAGATATCGAGTCAAGCTGCAACCAACACTCCGACTTCCACTTGGTGCAAAGGATGCATCCGAGAAGCCCTCGATGTAGTGGTCGGCTCTTGTTGGCTCGTACACGAGACCTAAGTTTCGGGTTTGCTTCAAGTACCCCAAAACTCTCACACCAATCCGCTCCACCAACGAAGGATTCCGCAAACACCAAGACGACATAGTTGCAATCGCATGCATGAGGTCAGGCCTTGACTTACCACTCAGCCAGAGAACTTCACCCGTTAAGGTTTGAGCTCTCCTCAAAGTTTCCAGAGGATGCTCCTCCTCAGGGCATTCTGCTTCACCAAGAAGCCATTCTTGTGGACACGGAGTAAGGTAGCCCCTTGCCTCAGTCATGTTGTGATGCCTCAGCAGCTCATCAATGTAGCCTCCCTGGTGAATCCGAACGCCTCCACATTTGGTTCGCCCGATCTCCAGGCCCAAGAACCTGATGTCAACCTTTTCAGAAGCCCACGACAACTCGGAGGCCTTCCATTCACTGGTCAGCCACCTCTGCACCGCTTCGATCACCGGAACTTCTCCGATGTACAGGATGTCGTCGACATACACATTGATGTAGGCTCGTACCTTTTCTTCACCCTCGGCTGACACGACCTTAACCGACCAAATGTTCTCGTCGGCCTTATGCTGAGACAAGTAGATGTAGCCACCCTCAAACTCGATCTTTGCCGACCTCAAACGCTTATCTCTGAACCTTCCCCAAAGTCTAGGAGAGCGACGAAAACCATAAAGAGCACGATCAACTCTCCACAGCCGAAGAGCGTACTCAACCTTGGCAAGCACAAGGACCTTTGGGGCGTAAAGAGCATAGACCGTGTCCTCCTCCTCATCTTCTTCCTGGATCGGAGCAAGGATAAAGGCATTGCGAATGTCGGTCGAGGCAATGAACCAACCTAGTACGGCACAGCGCACAAGCATGATTCGAAGGCTGTCCGTCTGACAACCTCCCGCATAGGAGTCCTCCTGAGCTTGCTTTCCTTGAAAGTTTCCGCAGATAACAAGCCTCGCTTTTCTCTTGTAGAAGGAGGGATCACCAGGAGGAACAGGTTGACCATCATCACCGACTAGTCGTTCTTGATCAGGCGGCTTCACAGTGAACACCCCCTTTGCCGGAAGGATGACTAATTTTCCGCTTGCTTCGAGCGCACGCTGCTCCTCCTGAGACAAAGGTACCAAAGCCTTAGCCTTGATCAGGGCATCCGCCTCCTTCACTATGGCCTCAGTCCACCTCCCAATGAACTGCTTGACTTCCTCCAATGGCACAGTGTAAACAACCTTGAGGGGATTGGACAAAACCTCCAACAGCGCTTCCACCCCATGTGTTTCTTCCGGTCCCTCGCGGCTAGCTTACACAACGTGAGCCATCCCTCGACATCATAGCGGTCCTTGCACAACCTCTCGAGTTGATCATACTCCTCAGCGACCTTCATGTTCGCCTCGGACACTCCCTTGAAATCTTCGGACCATTTGGAAGGAACCGCAGCTGCCAGAACCTCCTCCTCATCCAGGAGCCTTCTTGTCCAAATTCGAGTCCATAGCTCCTCCTCAGGATCATCGGAAGGAGGAAATTGTCCTGGAATGTCCAATGATGCCTCCCCACCGCCTTCACGGACTTGAACATCTGGTGTCTTCATCACCTTCAGCTCCGGATTGGAGGGCAACACAAAACCAAGATCTCTCAAACATCCTCTATGGTCCTCGCTCAGTTTCCCATGGTACCCAACGGTGTGCGCAATGATCGTCCACTTTGGGCCACCTTCCCAGGGCATGGTTTTGTGTAGTTTCTTTGGGTCCACATTCACAACCCGGTTGTGTACCGGACTGACGAACCCGTTCACAACCTTGCCACCTTCCGTCTCAATGGAAACTTGTGGACTGCCGTCGCAAACACCCTCCTGCCAAATTCCACCTCCGGAGAAATTCCCAACGGTGATCACATAGTTCTTGGAGTTGCGTAGGTTGAATTTGTCTCGGTGGGCATCCGTGCACAAGTCTCTAGCCACGGTCATAGAGGTAAAAGTAACACCCGGACCACAATGGTGCTGGTACAGCGCGACCAAGTACTCAGTCAATGATCGATGCCTGGTAGTAGCTGTCGTAACACCCGACCAAGGTCCCCGCTGATATGCACCCAACGTGGTATGCACTTGGGGTGCCTCATTGTCCTTCCATGCCGAGGCTCTCTGCTTCCTGGTCTTCAGGAACCTTTCATTTTCCAAGACCCTTAGGCAGTCCTCCATTGTAAAACGGCCATCACGTAGAAATTCTGCTGCTAGATCACTTTGATCGCCGTCACCCTTAACCTTCTGGGAGAACTCCGAGGGCACCTCAAACCCGTCAAGCACCATCGCCTCGGACGCCACCTCATCTGACGACGAACTGGTAGATTGCTCCGCGACCTTCACAATCGACTTCAACCCGGCCTTAGCAGCACCGTCCCCGAGAGGCTCGCCACTCATCCCTGGCATCAAACCAACTCCACCTGCAAGGTCAACAATTGAAGATTTCCGTCGAACTCGCCTAGCAGGCGGGACAGGCTCATCGGCCTCAGCTTCGTAAGCTTCGTCCTCGGCCGGAGGGTCCTCGAACTGACGAATATGGGTGGTGTACCACAGGTTCCCCTCATCGGTGAACACCAAGTGCCCCCCTGGAACGGAACGGGCCGGACCCAGGTAAGTAGCCGACAGCCAACGAGGTTGTAGATCGAAACGACCTCCGACTCCATAGCCCTTCCTCTTGGTAAAAACCTTGGAGCCAAAGCGGGCCACCGTAGGTAGTTTTCGCTGAAAGACCAGGGCTTGATGCTGGGCAACTGCTGTCTCGGCTGCAAAAGGCCACCATGAACGCAACGTCTCATCATCGACGTCACCAAGTTGTTTCGCTTGGCCCAGAAGAACTCGCATACGAGACTTTAAGTAGCCAACAGCCCTCTCTGCCGTCCCATTGGCGGGTGGATCCGAACCTTGGGTCCGGGTCACATCAATGTCCCGTGCCGCAGCCCATGCTTCGAGCGCATCTGTTTGAAGTTCGCGTGCCCTGTCCATGTGCAGCTTGCAAACTGGAAACCCTTGGCTCCGAAGTTGTACATAAAGTTCTTGAACAGCTCTAAGCGCATCCGCCTTGCTTCTGGACTTCATCGGTCTGGCTAGGTACACCGAGGAGAACTCAAGCGGCTTGGCAAGCTCCCTAAGGGCCTCGACCTCCTTGTCTAAAGAGTGCTCCTCCTCCGGTTTGGCCTCCTCAAGTCCCACATCGGCCATCCCTTCCTCCATCGGGTCACCGATCCCAGGAACAACTGGATCGCCGTCAGAAATCCAATCACCACCATCATCAGGGCCGGGAGCGATCTCTCCATCAGGGACTGCCGGTTCTTTCTTCTCTCCAATTCCCGCCATCTTAGGAAATCTGTAGCAACCGACCATCAGGTACTTGTAGCCACCCGCGCCCCTCACTCTGAAGGGACCAGCTGCATCCACTGCCAAACTGTACGCCGACGGGTGCGTGACCTTGCGGTGAGGTTTTCCACTGGCTCGCTCGATGCAAACCCGACAGTCTCTCCTATAGGGCAGATGATCACGTTGCAAATGTAGCTTCCATTCGCCCACATCAAACTTTGCCAAGCCACCCTTCGCATCCTCGGGAGATTGCAACCTTCTTGTTAGCGAGGCCAAGAGTCCTTCACGATGACGTAGTCCCGCCCAACTCCTTAGAGCACCAGCAACATGAGCCACCAGCTCCATCGGCCACACTGAGCAACCGGGAGTTCCCGGGGTCAGCGCTCCGAAAGAAGCCCCTTCAAGATGCCAAAGGTTTAAGTTGCTCCCCAGGACTGTTTTCCGGCCATTCATCACGATCTTCACCTCTCCCATCAGCTCCTCCTCAGCGAAGGACTTCCAGAGCAAGTGATCAAAGATTGAACGCTGCCCCTCTTGCGCCGCCGGGTGCTCCAACATCAGTCCAACGTGAGGTTTCAAAGGCATCTGCTTCAATGCCCCCTTTTTCCAAGCCTCACATCGTCCGGCTTCAGCAATGTACCACAAAGACAGAAGGCGCACTGCCAGCTTCATTTCCTTGAGTTGGTGCGGCGTATAGTTCACCTCCTTCTCAGCAGACGGGAAGCCGTGCCTTGGGGGCCCGCCAACAACCGCCTTGATCTTCCCATGCATCGCGGCCCATGCCAACACACGAAACACAGCACCTTGCTGTAACAAATCCATGTGCTTGGAGTCTGCGATGTCCACATCGACGATCACATCGCTCCCAGTCAAGGAACTACTCCACATAGCCCGTCTCATAGACTGCTGCTCCTTAGCCTCCCAAGATCGATTGTCTCCCGCACACAGGTGGACAACCCAGCTGTCACTCTGGAACAAAACCTTGCGCTTCGCTCTGGACCAAGGCAGCCCTTTCAGCATCTTCCACCCATCCTTCAAGGTCGGCGGAACCGCCTCAGGAAGACCAAGTAGAACTTCTGGGGGAAGGGCCGCAAAGACCGGGCACGTGTGAAGGAAACCTGCCATAGACGTACGGTCGCCCTCTTCACAAAACGACTTCAAGTGCCGCTGCCAGCTCCAATCTTCCCTGCCCCGTTCACGGAGCACACGCACTTGAGACCTCAGGTCTGCAACGGTCTTCTCAAACTCCTTTATCCTTGCTTCTTCGAGCTCCGAAATCAAGGTCATCGCCTGGGAAACGGGCATCACCGGACACTGGCCCCTTAGTCGAACTTGCAAGCGTCCATGGACTGGGTGGATAACTGTGAGTTTCGACGGGGTCCATGAAATGCGGCAGCCCAGAAGTCGCACCAGCTGCCCCATCGGAACAATGGCTTCTGACCCTTCCTCCCCCAGTAGCGTGCCGCCGCCCGTCTGAGCAAGATTCCGCTCTTCTCCAGTTGCCAATGTCACCGTAACCGTCTTGGTTGTCGTAGCATCTTGAGGTAACAAGGCTGGTCTGTAGGCGTGGCTGGCCCCGCTGTCCAAGAGCGCTTCGCCCTCCTCAGCAGCGGAGGGCTGAGCACACGTAGAAGCACTCAACCTTGCTTCATACCAAGCCACCGCACTGGAGAAGGGCGCCGTAGAGCTCTCAGGTCCCTTCACTTGAATCACCTTCATCCTTCGAACCTCATCCAACTGCTGCTGAATCAACACCAGAGGATCCGTAGGAGGTGCCGTAGTAGATTGTTCCGAAACCTGCTGCTCCGTCAAGGTCTTCAGCATCCGGTTCGTCTCGGTCAGGATCTCCGTCATCTTGGCCGCGTCGATCTTGTTTCCATTAGAGGTAGCGCTCCCAATGGGGGTGGCCGAATCAGGAACCACAATCGGTGGCACCGCAGCCGCCTTCGCCGCTGGAGTTCCGCTCACAGCCGTGGTCGAAGAAGTAGTGGATAAAGCTGCTGCCGTCGCCTTTGGTGGTGGAGGTGGAGCACGTGTAGGCGAAGGCGGATTGTCCTTCGTAGCGCAATCCTTCGCCCGGTGCTGCTTGCTCCCACAGAGCAAACATCGCTCTGTACGGTTCAACCCTTGCCACGAGTGGGTAAACCCACACGACTTGCCATTCCTGCATCCAGCATCGGTACCAAACCACTGGCAAGCCTTCTTAGGCGCAGGGGGCGTAGCCTTTCCTTTGCCCTTTGCATCCTCAACGCTCTGCTGCATTCCCTTCAAGGTGGTAGAAGAGCCCGCGGGAGCCGTCGCTCCAGATCCCGCTGTGGTAGTAGAGGACGTGGTTGCTGGGCCGCGTCTGGACCCGCCACCCAACTGCTCAAGCTCCGCCAAAAGGTGCTGGAGGAACCTCATCACGTTCGATTGACTCGGCCTCGAGTCAATCTGCAGCTCCGTCTTCGCCAAAGCCACTCGGAACTTGAAGTCGGCATACTGGTCCGCGGTCTTCTTTACAATGTTAGACAACGACCTCACCTGCAGCGACTCATCTGGCAACGCTATGTTGAGGTCGGATGCCCTCTGAAGGAGCCGGTACCATCGCCGGATTGCTATCACCGCCTCTGCCGGGCCCGCGCTGGACTCGTTCACATCCAACTGCCGAAGAAGCTGTGCGCGATCCTGAGCACCGCCCGGTTGGAAGACCACCATCAACCTGAAGAGGATCTGATGGACCCCCTGCACTCTGTGCGCCACAAGCTCATCTCGAACTCCACGAGGTAAAGACCCCAACATCAAGGAAGCCACCTTGCGCTCCAGTCGCTTGTACTTGTCCTCCCGTAGGTCCGCGGGCAAGGTCACCTGCACACTTAGTCGTTTCATCGGCGACAGGGACTGGTACTCCGCATAAGCCTTCTGGGCCACACTCAACGTCCGTTGCCACCAGTCCCCCGCTCCCGATGCCAGGCTCCCAATCTGCTGCTCCGCCAGGTACAAGTAGTCCTGAAAGTCTGTAGCGCCGGACTCCGGGGTGTACTCTGGGAGCTTAGCCAACTCCTGTACCGCCTTCGGCTCGATGTCCATGGTCTCACCCTTCTGCTTGAGCAAGACCTGCTGCAGCTGACTCATCCCCGTGATCAGCACATCTAAAGGGTTAGGGGCAGTGGCCCCCCTTTCAGTTTCCTTCGGTTCCTCTGTCGGAGTAGACCCTTGGACGCCGCCACGATCCACCAGTTCTTCTCGAGGTGCTCGAGGAGGTTGTGCTCCCAGACCAGGAGGATAACCAAGACCATAGTCTCCGAACGTGACCCCTTCCACTGTGGGCGAAGGCCGATAGGCAGCTTCAGTGGGACGAACACCGCCAATATCTCCATCACTCAGACCTTGTCGAAGATCCCCACCTCCCGCTCTTAGGCCTTCTTCACCCATATCCATAGCCAACGATCCCCTCCTCGCCCTCGGCGATTGTAGGACACCACGTGTTGGACTCCGTGCCAACCTTGGCCTTCGATCTGCGCTCAAGCTCCTGAGCGGCTCTCTCAGACGACCTGTGAAGATGTTCTTCGGAACTTCCTCATCAAACGGGACAAACCTAGGCCGACGACTCCACTCTTCACCACGACCAGCATCATTCTGCAACTGAGATGGGACCCGATCACCGCCTGATACTCCATGATCTGCAGCGTGAGCCCGAGTGCCTTCAGGTACTGGCTGATTGTTGCAAAGGCCCGATCACCGCCTGATACTCCATGATCTGCAGGATAAGCCCGAGTGCCTTCAGGTACTGGTTGATTGTTTGCAAAGGCCCGATCACCGCCTGATACTCCATGATCTGCAGGATAAGCCCGATTGCCTTCTGGTACTGCGCGACTGGTTGCAAAGGCCCGATCACCGCCTGATACTCCATGATCTGCAGGATAAGCCCGATTGCCTTCTGGTACTGCGCGACTGGTTGCAAAGGCCCGATCACCGCCTGATACTCCATGATCTGCAGGATAAGCCCGATTGCCTTCTGGTACTGCGCGACTGGTTGCAAAGGCCCGATCACCGCCTGATACTCCATGCTCTGCCGGATGAGCCCGAGTGCCTTCAGGTACGAAACCTCGCATTGGCAACGAAGGGGCAACCGTAGGAGTAGACGACAACCGATCCCGAAGTCGCTGATTTTCTTCTCGCAGATCCATCATCCCTTGTTGGTGGCTCTGGAGAGCCAGCTGAACTTGGCGCCGAACCTCCTCTTCCACCACTTCACGTGGTATAGAGTTCGACGAAACGTCATCTTGAAGAGCTGGTCGAGAACTGGATCCATGAAGCAGCGGAGCTTGCGCTGCCCACTCCTCCATCCTCCTTGCTGCTGCTCGTCCGAACAACGGCGGACTCTCTTCCACCGGCAATGGTAGACCTCCTCCTTGGTCGGTCGCACTTCCATCCAACTGCCTTCCAGAACGGGATGCCGTAGGCGATGTTGTCCTCTGCACCCTCTGCTGTTGCAGCACGAAACCTCCGCCACCATTAGCTGGACTCACCAGCTGTTGCCTTGTCATCGTCGTAAAGGTTTCCATAGCAGAGTGCGAACGCAGAAAATCACCAAGTCGATGCACCCACCTGAAAGCTGCTGGTACACCTTCTCCACTTCTGGATTCCGATGATCCCACATCGGGGTCTCGCGGTTGGGCTGGCCAGGCCTCTTGGAAAAAAGCCTGACCCGGTCTGGTCGAAGAATCCACTGCAGGACTGTAAGGCAACGACTCTATACCGTCCACCGTGCGCATAGAAGACGTGGGAGAGGCCCTTGTCACTCCGTTCGGCAGCTGTGGCGGCATAGACTGCTGGCCGCCATAATCGGGGCCCCTCAGTTCTCCTTCGAGTGTGCTGTGGCCGACACCCCTACTCAGCGGAGTAGCTTCCGTAACTTGGGCAGTCATAACCTGTTGGCTTGAAGAGCCTGGTTCAGTCGGGGGAGCAGCCATAGCACCAACGGTTCGTCTTCTCCGAAGAATGTTTTCCACAGGAACAAGTCAGCCTATATCCCAGGCTAACAAATCCCCAAACTTCCACAGTCCAAACACACAAAAGGGAACCCAAAGATTCCGGCAGGGCCCACCTACCAACGAGCACAGCTCTCACTTCAGTGGCCCTTTTCATGTCTTGAGCCATGATTCCGTTCAGCGGGCCTCTGTGCACACCGCCTCCAAGCATACATGCTTCGCACATGACGTTCTTTACATCCCTCTCTCTTAGGATCAGGACAGTGCGGAAGAAAAGCCTTCTTAGCTTCTCTTCTTTCAAGAGCCTTTTATAAACAAGACTGACGCATCCAGCTACACGAACAAAATAATAGATGTATGTATGTAGGTATGTATGTATGTATGCATGTATGTATGTAGGGGTGTCTGTGTGTTTGAATTTTTTTTTGGTTTTGTTTGCTAGCTTGCTGGCTTGGTTGGTTGGTTAGTTGTTTGTTTGTTTGTTCGTGTGTTTTGCTTGTTTGGCTTATTTTGTGTGTTTGTGTGTTTGTGTGTTTGTTTGTTTGTTTGTTTGTTTGTTTGTTTGGTTGGTTGGTTGGTTGGTTGGTTGGTTGTTTGTTTGTTTGTTTGTTTGTTTGTTTGTTTGTGTGTGCGTGTGTTTGTGTGTGTTTGTTTGTCTGTTTGTTTGTGTGTTTGCTTGTTTTGCTTGTTTGCTTGTTTGTTTGTTTTTGTTTGAGCACATGTTTCTGTGTGTCCGGATGTGTGGCTTGTACGATGCAAGTATTGAATACCGTGCATGTTATGATGATGCTGTGTTTCTGATAAAGGTCGAGAGAGAGAGGGTGTATAAACCGATGGTTGACAGGTAGATAGACAGCAGGCTAGATCGTTCAGCCGAAGTTGCAACTGGCCTGAGAGATAATAAGCAATCTCACGAAGTTTCTGTGAAGGCTACTTGGATCTGTTGTGCTACAAGGTGGTTTTCTGCGAATGACTGCCTTTCTGTATTTGCAAGTGCATGTATGTATGTATGTATGTATGTATGTATGTATGTATACACACAGTCACGCATACAAGTTCATATATAGACACATATTAAAGCCCTCGACCCGTATACAATTCTGAGCTATCCTGAAAACCAATGCTACTTAGGGTTCTGACTTCAAGTGTCGTATGTTCTACCCCAAAATTCTGTCCTAATTGTTAAGGCCTGGATTGGCGCCTGTCTTGTCTGTACGCTTATTTGCCGTATACGGAAACTTGCCAGAAACCAACTCTCCAGACCAGCATGCGGCTATCGTTCACCGCTTGATGAGGTGTCATTGTGGATGACGAAATCCCAAACACCAAACCCCTTCGGAACCTAAACTGTAGACTCTAAACCCTTAACCCGAAACCCTGTAGACTCCCCTCAAGGCACTCCACCAGCGCCAGCGGGTTGCAGACGAAGCCGAGCATCGTGCCGTCGCAGCTGAGCGCGACTTGGTTGCCGAAGAAGATCCTGCGTGTGCATGAACGGTTGATCCCAGAGAGAACGGAACCGGTCGTTCTATGTGTAAACCACAGTAGACGCATGATCAACTTAATAACCAGCCTCCCTTAGCAATGACTACAACCTGGCTCCTCAAACAAAGCGGCCTGATTGTTCGTGGTTCATGTTACAAAAGCAAAGAAATCCCTAAACAACCCCAACAAGCTTCGTAGACCCCTGTAAGAAACAAGTTGAACACTGTACAATCCGGTACACTGCAACATTATAGTGCCTTCTCAAGTTCTACGAATACATATCTCACTCTATCAGACATTGTTCAACCTGACAGCACCTCTCTCAGCCCTTCCGCAGGTGAGAAGTTTAACCTGGAGGCGACGACCTCCGCCGCGCGCGCGGAGGCGAACACCTCGGCGTCCGTGGCGGAGGCGGACTCGCAGAAGACGAAGGCCCGGGTTCTGTTTAACGTATAGGCGCCCTAATGATTAGAACAGGGTTCCTTTCAAGGGGTCTTTAAAGGGCGACTATAAATACCAGGGCTACTATAAGAATGTAATATAGGGGCCTTAACAATTAGAAAAAGGTTTTGGGATATAATGCGCTATAATCATAGCAAGGAGCTCCAAAACAGGGTAGGTAATCATTAAGGCCCCGATAGCAAGTGTCTTTTTAAGGATCCCTTTGCGAGGTTTACAAGGGTCCAAGTGGTCTGCAAGAAATAATGCATAACAAGGATTTCGGGTTTAGTTCGTTTTGTTGTAGGTCCTTCGCATTCCTACAGGGCTTCGTAGGGTCTTCCAAGGGTGTGACAAGGGTCTGTGGGTGTATTTCATTGTTTGGTTTTTGGCCGCGCAAGAGCCACAAACATTCTTCTAGTTATCGGTATCAGTCTGACAGCTTGGAAACGGTATTATCTTGGCCCCGAAACCTTGTCAGAAATGAGAACCGACATGGCTGCTGAATAGTGACAGTAGTATCAGCTAGAGTGTCACACTGATAGTAACTTTTCCTGCCGAATCGTGCTGTCGACATCCCGCCAGAAAGTTTAGCACAGAGTCCTCAACCCTGCTACTCTGAACCGCAAGCTCTAAACCCCCAAAAGCCGACAGGCTCCTTAAACCCTAACCTTAAACGTTGCTTTAGGGCGTGTTTGGGGTTTAGGGTTTAGGTATTTGGAGGTTTAGGGTTCAGGGGTTTAGGGGTTTGGAGGTTCATGTTCCTGCACGGTAGAGTTATGAAGTACCTGAACTGGGGTCGTACCTGAGCTGGGGTCGTGTCTAGTTGCATGTACAGTTACCATGCTTATAACCCTGGCTACTAGTTCTACTGAACCTTTCTGTCATAGGTTTAACAGATGGAGGAATTTCAGACGAAAGCGTGCCCTGGTAGAGAACCGGAGCAACACGAAAGACCCAACATGCCAACGCCCGGAGCCCCCAAATCCTAGACCCTAAACCCTGGACCTCAAGCCCTGAACCCTAAGCCCTAAACCCTAAACCTGAAGCCCTGAACCCTGAACCCTAAGCCCCAAGCCATAAAGCCCCCAAGAGCCTGGAACAAGAAGGCTTCTAAAGCCTAGAACCTCCAAGAAGGGTTCAGCATGCGGGTTTGGGGTTCAGCTTGAGGGTGTAGGGTGTAGGGTTTAGGGTGATTTAGGGTGTAGGGTGCAGGGTTCAGGGTGTAGGGTGTAGGGTGTAGGGTTTAGGGTGATGGCCAGAACCAATCTGTGGTCGTGGCAGCCTTCTACGGCCAGTCGGCCATCGCGGCTGCTGCTGCGGCTCAGGCCGAGGATGTGCTAGCCTCCTGCAGCCATTGCTGCCAGCCTTTCATTATGGCAGGAGACTTTAACTTGGAACCAAATGAATCCATCATCGGAGAGATCCAAGCCACAGGCGTGGTCAGGGCACTCGATGACGTCACCAACGGTGGCCCCTTGCCTGCAACCAGGCCTGGGCGACGAAGGCGTGTCGACTATGGTCTGAGTCATTGGACCCATGCTGCCAGCAGAGTTTCCCACTTTGATCTGACTTGTCGGACCATGCGTCAGCGTGTTACGACATTCCGCTGGATGTCCCGCCCTTTCACATTGGACCGAAGCGTCAGCCGATGCACGAGGAGTCCCGAAAGGAAGTGGCAGCTTCTTTCGCCGCAGTTGTTGATCAGGCTTTCCATGAAGCCATTGCTCGGCGCGATGTAGACAGGGCCTGGGAGCTGTTGTCTGATTGGGCTAAGGCTTGCCTCGCTTCTGCCAGCCCGGCGTCCACACCTCGAAGCGCTCATGGGAGCCCAGACCCCACTCTTGCCTAGCTCCTGAATGCCTTAGGGGTTCCGCTACGGTGCAGGCTTTGGGTAAACTTCAGCGCCAGCTGGCAGTCTTCGTTGAAACAAGGGACACCCAGGTCTGGGCTAAGATGTGCCTTCGTGCCATAAACCCTAACCCCCAAACCCGAAGCATCCCAAGAAGCCCTCGAAGCGCAAACTCGCCAGGCCACTCTCCAGCGCCTAGAAGCACAGCTGGCCGAGAAGGCCGGAAAGAAGTACGGTTGATGTTTTCAAATCCTGGGGTTCCTTTAAGGGGATCTATAAGGGTACCTTTGAGGGATTCCTTTAAGGGGTCTATAGGGGGTTTAGGGTGTAGGGTTTAGGGTTGATGTTTTTAAATCCTGCAGTACCCGTAATAAGGAATATGCCATAACTTTCCATAGTTTTGCGTCCTTAAGGTCGTGCAGGATGTATATCATCAAGAGTAGCACTTAGCGCATGATAGGCTGGAAGAAAGGGATCCTTAAGGCTTCCTTTATGGGATCTATGAGGGGATCTATAGGGTTTAGGGTTTAGGCCGGAAAGAAGTAGTAATTAGCGAGTATAGCCTACCCTAAGGGTCCAAGTACCCAAATAGTAGGGAGTATGGATTTTGGGACAAAGCCCTACTATTTGGGTACTTGGACCCTCTGTGCTAAAGAAAGGGATCCTTACGGCTTCCTGTCAGGGATCTACAAGGGATCTATAGGGTTTAGGGTTTGGGATAGTATAGGGGCCGAAATAACTACCAAAACTATTTTGGGGGTTCCTTTTTCTAGCTATGGTATAATGGGTCCCGACTCTAATTTTTAAGGACCCTATATTAATTGGCTAGGGGCCTTAATTTAGTAGTTGGAACAGGGTTTGGGGGCCTTTTACAGTATAACCATACATTGACTAGGAGGGATGTTGTTATCGCACTAGGTTCCTGAGTAGTACCCTTTTGCTTTTTTTGGCGGCTGTGCTGCACCTGCGCGGGCACCACTGGCACAGCCGGCGCTTCGTCCGTGGCTTTGCCGACCCTCCCAGAGAACCCAATATCCCTTAATTAAGGAATATAGCTTAAATCATAATATGAAGCCCCTTAGAATTTAGGGTATATTCCTTAATTCCCTTATAGAACCCTTATAGATCCCTTTAAGGAGCCCTTTTTAAGGAACCCTAGGTATTCCTTAATTAAGGGATACGGGGCTCTCTGGGCTCTTCAGCGCGC